CATCGCTCCTCCCGAAACCCTCTTTCTCCCTAAGCAACGATAAGGAGCGTGAGAAGCGTCAGCGAAGACACAAAGACGAGATCGTTGATCATCCAGGCACGGAAGAAACTGGGAGTGAAGTTCAGAAGAAGGGAGCTGGAGAACCAAGTTACGATCTTCAAACAAGAATCTCAACAAGGATCGGAGTCCATTCTCAGTGGCCTGGCTAGGCACAGCCTGCTGTGTGCTCAACAGTCCAACCGCAAATTTTATATCTTGTCTCGTTTGTGATAGCCAAAGAAGCTTTCCAAGTGCGCGTCGGAACCTCGAATAGGCCTCTGGGCTCAACGGCTTGCTATTTGCGTGTTCCTCCAGCAAGACGGCGATGTTGGGAAACGCACTCGAACCCTTCTTAATCTGGTAAGCCTCCCAACACGGCACCAAATAGTCAGTTCGGACAAACACTTCAACCGTTGATGTCCCCGGCCATCTCCTAATGATGCGACCAATGAAAGTGATGGATCCCCCTCCATTGATGTCTTGATGAATCCTCCCGGTGATCTTCACTGGAACTCTACTCTGGATGGCTGCAATGATCCGCCTCTCCACAGAAGCGCTATCAGAGATCACCAAGACATCGTCGACGTAACACAGCACGATAGCCCGACCTCCAGGACAATCCCCTTCGGGCTCTAGCCATCCCGTGAACAAACATGGTTCACGCTCGTCACTCAGCAGATGGAGAGGCTTTATGAGCTCCGACAGAAGGTAAAGCCAAGCCTGTGAAGCATCCCTTAGCCCATTCAAGGCAGCATACAACAGAAAGTAAGCAGGCGATCCATCCGGAAGACTGACTGACAAAGGCATTTTCAGAACAATCGGCACCTTTGAAGTGAGAGGGCTGTGCATGAACGCATGGCTCACATCCAGACCACAGCCTGCAAGGTTATGCACTGCCATCATGATCAACGTCAGCATAAAGGCATCATGACTCGGAGTAGGGCTGCTAAAGCCAGCCTTCCGAGCTGAACCATGCGCCAGATCCTTTGCCACAATGCGGCTTCGGACCTTCGTTTCAGTCTTCCGAGCACACACCCAGCGTGCTGGGATCAGACGCATCTTCGGATGTTGCTCCTTCAGCTTTTGCACTCCGGCTGAGCCTATGATTTTACCGGTCTTACACTTCTCCAAATTACCAATCTCCTCACACATGCCTGCGAAAACTTGGTCTCCCGGCAACTCTTCAAAGGTGGAATCATCAATGCCGCCCTGAGGTTTCCAAACAAGCACATCCGACCCACCTAGTCTCCTACGTTCCGAACCCCCTTTCACACTGCGCCCGTCATCAAACCTAATGCTACAAATGGTCTCATCGTGTATCTCAGGCCTAGTCACATGATGGTCCATGCAAACTCCCACAGATGCATCTGAGCACCAGAACAGACTCTCCAACATCCTGGGCTGAGGCGGTCCTGACTCTGCGATCTCACGCTCAAGATCGACAATCTCAACTTCAGAAGCTCTCTTGACCCCTTGCGCTCCGGACGAAGGAGCAGACGCATCGGGAGATCCAGACGAAGAGGGCTCGGATGGCCCAGGAAATGGCCTTTTCAGAAGGCTCCGGCGATGCTCTGAAGCCCCTGGTTGGATGCCATCTCCAGCGCCTGCTGAAGAATCCTGTGGTGGGGAATCGCCTGTCTCACCACCTGACAGATCATCACGGATAACCCGTGCAGCCTTCAGCGGCTGTGATTCCTGTGAGGGTGGAGCTCCAGAGCGGTTGGAGGCTCCAGCAATGCTCGGAGCTCCAACTGGCATTGAGACGGCAGGTGCAGCACTGGTGGATTCTGGCAGAGTAGGTTCCTCTGCCTAAGCCGGCAAAGCCGGGCCACCGGGACGTATCCCAGCACCTTCAGGAGCAAGTGTATCGCGCAACCAAGTGGCATACCTCCTATGACATGTGACGTTGTGGTTGCGACCAGCCTTACGACCTGCACTGATGTTAGAGCATGCTGTGCACCCGGCCGTCGGGCCATGATCACGAACCCACGACACCGGAGGCCCTGACGAAGGAGGCTGAACCGACACAGGCGGCTCCAAGGACTCCCTTGGCTCTGAAGGCTGCGCCTGCTGCCTCGGACCCGAACCCAACGGCTTCAGCAAGCCCTCGACAAGCTCAAGGCGCCACGACAAAGGAACGCAGATCTTGACAGAAGTGGCATTGAAAAACTTCAGCCCCATACTCGAATCAATCCGAACCAAGCCACACACCCTCACCGCCTGCGAACAAAGCACAGGATGCAAGAAAGCCGCCTCAACAAATCTCGACATGTTGGGAGCCAACTCACGCATGGACTGTGGCAACTCAGCAAGGACGGTCGCTCCATACATGGTGAAAGGGCCTCTGTGCGCCGGACGCCCAATCGCGATATCGATTGGAGCCAAATCGCTCCCGTGAGCTTTTGCAAAGCGGTTAAAGCTTGCACACAAGAAGTTCAAAGCCGAAGCAAAAGCATCAATGGAAAAGTGCAAATCAAGATTCTCTTGGTTAAGGTCTGATCTCAAAGTCTGGAGTCCCTCTCTCAACTTTCTCACCGCTCTCTCAGCCGCTCCGTTCGCTTCATGATCTTGAGGTGCGGCCTTTCTCACTTGAAACGTAAACTCCGCTGATGCCCCAGCAATAAGATCCGAGACTGCCTCCTCAGCGTCAGTCACCAGCACAATCGAAGTGCTGCCCGACTCCAGTCCAAACTCACGCAGCCACTTGATGACTTGTGTTCTAGTCTGCACCACGTCACTCCGCGTGACGACAGCTCCAATCATACAGGTCATGCGTTCAGTCAATACCAAAATCCTCAGGTTGTCAGCCCTCACTCTTCTCTCACTCTCTCCAGTAGAAGACAAGAAGAAAAAATCAGCATACACCTCACTCTCCAGACGGCCGTTCACTCTACGACGATGTTGGTGGACCGACCTCGACATCTGACAATGACGACATGCAGGATGATATGGAGTGTGACCCTGCATTCTGTGTTTCGCAAGTTCAGCTTCAGTTGTCTTCGAAGTCAAAGGTGCAATCACTGAGATGCCTGAAACCTCCGTGGACACAGGAACCATCTCACACACAACCGTAGACCCCTTCACGGGACGAAGCCTCAACCAAGGGACGTTTGCAAACAGAGTGACTTCCTTGGCTGTACCACCAGCTCTCCACAAGCTAGCTCCTTCCTGGTCCTGGAGAAATGACCATCCTTTATGACAAAGTGAAGTGGTTGACAGAATGTTGTGTTTCGTGTTCCCAATCAAGACTGACATCGAAGCTTTCATCTCCTTACACTCTCCGTGCGGATCTTCTAGAACAATCGTGACCTCAATCACGCAGGACTGATACATCACCACAGGTGACCCGTTCGCAGACGAGTACTGATGCTTGATCTTGGTGCTATCTTTCTTCAGTTCCACCCCAAAATAAGCAGCGTGCTGTTCACTCAGCACCGTGACGCTGGCGCCACTGTCAAGTAGCCACCACTCAGACTCATCATCAACTTGATCTAGTCCGTGAATAAACAGCGTACTCAACTCTCCCGTCTCACACTCTGTATCTTCAACATGCGACTGGGGAACATGAACATGACTGTCTGCAACATCCAACTGCGGCACATGACTGTCTGCAACATGCAACTGCGGCACATGACTGTCTGGCAAGCACAGCACCGCACTCAACTGCAAGCTCTCAGCTGCTTTCGGCTGGCTTTGGGGAGGTGGTTGGGAGTGTCCATCACCTGGTTGCTCCTGTCCTGTTCCATTCCACTCGTGTCCCCAGTGATCCTGCCAGCCCTCACTGCCCCACCAGCTTTCATCCCAGGTTCCTTCCCAGCCTTCTCCTCCTGTCTGTCCATCAGCTACCTCAAACATCTTTCCTTTCTTCCCTTTAGAGCCCTTTTGACCTTTCCCTTTGTCCTTGCCCTTTCCTTTACCTTTAGGTCCTGGCCCTTTTCCTTTGTCCTTTCCTTTACCTTTAGGTCCTGTCTTACCTTTAGGCTGGCCTTTGTTAGAGGATCCCTGGCTTGGCTTCGGGCAGTGAGCACTGATATGCCCATACTCAGAACAAGCGAAGCACTGCACTTTAGACATGTCTGTCTTGCAAGCATCAGCCTCGTGACCTTTCCTACCGCACTTGCTGCAACGATCCTGTGCTACCGCGTTCACCATACCAAGCTGTGTCAAAAGAACCATCATGATCTGTGCAGGACATGGAATACACATCTGGTGCTCCAGCAACCGAACTCGAACTCAAAAGCTCATGCACAGATTTTCCTCTACTCGCGCCAATATTCAAATCCAAAAACAATCTCTGTTGTCTTTCATGACGCAACGCAGCAACACGACATGCCATGTATGAGTCTCCCGTGCTGTGATGCAAAACATACTGCTTGGCGTCCTCAGGTAAACTTCTCAGTAAAATCACCATCATATCTCCATCTCCAATACTCAAACCTTGTCTGTCAACGTGGTTTGGCAAGGTTCCCAAGAGTTTGGAAAAACGAGCAATCTCAATGTCAATCTTTCTGATGATGTCTCCTACTCGTGTCGCGGTCGTGGTTTCTGCTGTTCGCATGGCAAAGATCCTACCCAAAAGTTCAGACCTCATTGAAAGAGCCTCTGCACGAGACCTCAACGAAAATTGCTGTGCCAACTGCCTAAGAAGTTCATATCCGCAAGTCGTGTTCGACAGCATCTGCAACTGAAGCGTATCACTCCCCTCAAGGGAAAGGCCTTCACAAAAGCCTTGAATCATCAGGCTGATTCTCGGATGCTCAAGAAACGCAGCTTTCAAGATTCCAAGCAAACGCACAGAACGAGTCTTCTGATCATTGCTCAGTGTTCTTTGCAAGATCATGTCTGGCCATCTCACAGACATGCTTATCTCTTCAGAGAACTCAAGACTGCCCAGCAGCAGAATCAGGGCATGCCAATGCTCAATCAGCAGAATCAGGGCATGCCGATGCTCAATCAGCAGAATCGAGGTGTTGCTCAGGCTGGAGTTGCGTATCCAGCTGTTGGTGTGCATCAAGGTCCATGTGTGCAGAGCCAGATGTCCGTTGAGACAACTGTGCGTCAGATGCAGAGCATGATTTCGGTTTTGACACCTTGGCAAGCGCAAGCTGTGCAGACGGCGCTTGGAGAGCCAGTTAGGAAGGCAGGCGCGTGGTGTGCCTGAAGCGTTTGGACAGCCGCCCCAGACCTGGGAGCGCGCGCGAACACGTTTGTGCCAGATGTTCCGTCGAATCTGCTATTGTCTGGGCAGTGTGGCCCGACACGGTCTGCGTTTACCCCTATGAGAGTAAGGATGTGTTTTCGCAAGCGAAAAAGTGGTTGGAACCGCCTCCGTCGGAAGTGTCGAAATGGACCTCGCGTGAGCTGAAGTGGTTTTGCAGACTATGTGGGAGCTCTGCAGTCATGGGCTGCCATGACCTGCAGCAACTCCCATCTCCATCCCCCCAACATTACGAGCATCACTCCTTCCAACTGCCCTGGAGACGACTCTAGCGGGTTCTACATACTGGCCTTGGCGGAGATAGCGAGTCCAGCTCCGCTACCATGTAAAACTTACTAACCCTTGGGCAGGCAAGCAGACTGACGTGACTGTCACTTTTGGCACTCAAGCGCAAAGTCGAGTAAGCTGACTTCTCCGGTGAGCTTTTTTTCTTCTCGTTAGCTCACTTGAGCCAAACGTGTTGAGTGTGCCAAAAACAGCTTCTTAAGAAGAATTCTACAGCTTTACCTTGCAGCAAAACAAAACTAATCCGCTGCTTCCAGACATGGTGAATCCACGTTTGGCCAAAAACCATACAAGCATACAACATTGCAGTGGCATATCCCAAACATCTCGCAGCAGATAACAGTGAAGCAACCAAATTCCACATTTTAAGTTAAGTGCGTCAAAATGCGCAAAGCGCCATGAGCGGGCTGGAAAGTATTTTTTTTCTTTTTTGTGGTCTACGTATCCAATATAATGGCAGGCTTAACTGTTAGGTAGTCGTCAAAGTGGACCGTGTTGGCAGCACAAGTATTTGGTAATCAAGACATAGACCGATCGAGAGACTCTTAGAAGAGAACACCAACTCCAAGGCCAAGAAGGGCAACACGTTACAGCGGAAGCAGACCCACTGAGAGCATCTTGCAAGCCAAGCACACAGAAGCGCCAGTCC